GATGTGGCTTATGCACTTGGAGTGACTAGCCGATATCAGGCAAATCCTGGTGAGGAACATTGGAAGGTGGTGAAGACCATTCTTAAGTACTTAAGAAGGACTAAAGACCAATTCCTCATCTATGGAGATTCTGAGTTGAAACTTCAAGGTTATACTGATGCAAGTTTCTCTTCAGATAGAAATGATAACAAATCTATTTCTAGTTATGTATTCACCTTAATTAGTGGTGCAGTGAGTTGAAAAAATTCCAAATAAGATACAGTAGCTGATTCAGTGACTGAAACAGAATATATAACAACTAGTAAAGCTGCTAGGAAAGTTGTATGGATGAAAAAGTTCTTAACTAAACTTGGTGTGGTTCCTTTAATAGAAGGTACAATTCCATTGTTGTGTGACAACACTGGAGCCATTGCTCAAGCAAAAGAACCAAAATCACACCAAAAATCCAAACACATTCTGCCAAGGATCACTTGATAAGAGAAATCATTGGACGTGGGGATGTCTAGATTCAAAAGGTTGATGGAAAGGAAAATGCTCCATACCCATTCACTAAAGCTCTTGGCGCAAAGGAGTTTAACAAGTACAAGTAGAAATTGGGAATGAAGTACAAGAGCGATTGGCTCTAGTGCAAGTGGAAGATTGTTAGGGATATAGTAGATATGCCCTAGATCCAATCTCATATTTGATGATTTGAACATATTTTTGTGAACGTTATTTGATAAAAAAAATATATGGCATTCTTTTTTCTTTAGTTATTATTAATTGTTTGATTAATTTGATAAGGTCCTTGATTAAATTTTGAGATTTATCATCGTGATAGAGATCATGATAATGAGAGCAAAGTCTCTTATAATTTAATCTAAATTTGACAATTTGTTCTCGATCGTATGATTACTAATTTGGACATTAGTAATCCGGTTAGATCAATATTTATGTGATTGTCTTTATGGGATAAAGATTAGTTGATCTCATTAACTGAATCACATAGATAGATGATGCATATAGAGATATGATCATTAAACCGACTCATTGGATAATTCCTAATGGTTAGAATTACCATAAACTGTCAATAGGATATTCTCTTGAAGAATGTGATGTAAAAGTTTTCTTTGACTTGAGATTGTCATAGTAATTGACAAGTTATTTATTGTGCTTTGATACTAGACACATATGGCCCTAGGACGATAGTTGAAATTAAATGACAAGGATATTGGGCATAATTAAATGCTTGTAGAATTAGTGATTGATCAAGATGGAATCTGTCAACCCTTGGTAATGAGTTTAAGCTCCATGTTATCATGAATTATAAACGACCAAATTAAGACCTTGGTCAGGGCAATTGAATGAAAGAATAAATGAGTTTCTTAGATCATTCGATGGTCGATTTTATTTGACATGAACACATAGTTGGTCGCCTATTAGGATTTGACAGTTGAACCATATCCTAGGGTGACTCGGAGCTATAAGGACGGAATGAATTACTACGTTATTCTTCTACTGATTCTTGAGAGTAAATTGTATACTTCATGCTATCCGGTCATTAAGAAGTGTTGCTAGACGCCACCCTTGATTAGTATATTGATGTTGTGAATTTACTACCGGCTTAGTATTGAACCTATGAGGTCGCACACTAACGAATTTTCTGATATTTGCTAAAGGATTAATTACTTTATTATTTGACAATTAAATTAACGAATTTAATTAGTCAAATATAGTTATTAGTCCAATTGAAATATTATTATATTCTTTGCTAGAACTGAGGATATAATTAATATTGTGAACAAATTGAAATTTTCTATTTGGAATAGAAATTAAATTATATCTCTTAATTGATATATATGTATTATATATACAAAATTAATATTTATGTATATATGAAATATATAAAAATTAATGAAGACTAATTAGTGAAATCCAATTAAGAATTGGATTCACGTATGAAGTCCACAAAAGGGACTTAGTCGGCAAGGTGTTTCCCGTTTTGGAATGGGATTCCATCTTCAATGGAATTACCTTTTTCTAAAGTTCAATTTTGAATTGGAAAGAAAAGAAAAGAAAGCCCAAACGCTTATAATTTTTCCTTAACCTAGTGGAAAGTATTGTTGGCTTAAGTGATATATAAATACATCACTAAGTGCCAAGAAAAGCTACGAGAAAAAAGGAGACCTCGCATCTGTTAAACGAAAAAGAGTTTTTCGGAGCAGTAAAAATTAAGAAATAGTCTTGGCAAAGAGAATTAGTTTTCTTGTCGTGTTGTTGGCTGGATTTTGAGAAAATTCCAGCATACAAATTTCATTCAATTTGTTCGCGGGTTTCATTGATCAAAGGGTTGATAGCAAATATCAGTCTCTATGTGGATACGCATAGAGTCTTCGCACTATCGAAGAATTTGAAACGAGACTTTCTTCACCAGGTACGTCTTAGATCCGATCTATTGACATGTAAGTAAATTTTAAACATGAAAAGATCTGCCTAGGATTATTATTGTCTTCCACTGCGTGTTACGAATACCTATACGCAATCCTTCACTTCCTCTCTTTACTTTTCGGCGAGATCTTAAGGATTTGCTTTAGAAAGTAATTAAGCCTAGTGTTATGGCCACGAGAAATAAAAATCAAGCCACTTGAACGAGCTGAATATCAAAGATTAGAGATGGAACAGAATTTTTTAACATAGCTCAAGAGAAATAAGTCAAATTGAAGTGAGCAATTATGATACTTTAGTGTAGTTTGTAACTGCTATACACCTTGTTCGGAGGTTGGTGGAAATGTATAGAGAGGAAGAAGGATCTGCACATGGTGTTTATTGACCTGGAGAAAGCATACGACAAGGTTCCTAGAGAAGTTCTCTGGAGATATTTGGAGGCAAAAGGTGTGTCGGTACCGTACATTATGGCGATCAAGGACATGTATGATGGGGCTAAGAATCGGGTTAGGATAGTAGGAGGAGACTCTGAACATTTTCCGGTTGTAATAGGGTTACACCAAGGTTCCGCACTCAGTCTATTCTTATTCGCCTTGGTGATGGACACGTTAACGCACCATATTCAAGGGGAGGTGCCGTGGTGCATACTATTCGCCAATGACATAGTTCTGATTGATGAGTCGCGAGCTAGTCTTAACGAGAGGCTAGAGATTTGGAGACAAGCTCTTGAGTCTAATGGTTTCAAGCTGAGCAGGATGAAGACGGAATACTTGGAGTATAAGTTCAGCGCTGAGCCGGGGANTGGATGAAGTGGAGGTTAGCATCTGGAGTCTTGTGCGACAAGAGAGTGCCACCGATTCTCAAAGGTAAGTTCTATAAAGCGGTGGTTAGACCGGTAATGATGTATGGGGCTGAGTGTTGGCCTGTTAAGAACTCACATACCCAGAAGATGAGAGTAGCAGAAATGAGGATGCTGAGGTGGATGTGCGGGCACACTAGGATGGATAAGATTAAGAATGATGATATTCAGGAGAAGGTGCAAGTGGCTCCCATTGATGACAAGATGCGGGAAGTGAGACTCAGATGGTTCGGGCATGTTCAGAGGAGAAGTCCAGATGCTCCGGTAAGGAGGTGCGAGCGGCTAGTTGTGGAGGGGACGAGAAGAGGTAGAGAGCGGCCTAAGAAATATTGAGGAGAGGTGATAAGACATGATATGGCGAGGCTTCAAATTTCCGAGGATATGACACTTGATAGGAAGTTGTGGAGGTCGAGTATTAAGGTTGTAGGTTAGGAGGTAGTTGAGTCTTGCCTTACTTATACCTTTGCGAGACTAGTCTGGTAGGGTTTTTACCTAAGTTAGCTAGTGCCATTGTGTCTTACTATTTCAGTGCATGACGCATTTAATAGCTATCGCTTTACTTTGCATCTTTCTTCGGATTTCATCTTCATATTTTTTTCTTATTGTTTCTGTGGTGATACTAATATTCTCTACTTTTGTCCTTTTGTTTTCTTGAACCGAGGGTCTATCGGAAACAATCTCTCTACCCCTTTGGGGTAGGGGTGAGGTCTGCGTACACACTACCCTCCCAAGACCCCATTAGTGGGATTTCACTGGGTTGTTGTTGTTGTTGTTGTATTGTAGTTTGTAACTGATCAAGTGAAGGACAAGTTAGAATAAAATCAGTAGCATCACTATTAATTGGAGACTTAGGAATCTGAATTACCATTGGCAGGTACAAGAAAAATATGCAGAAGTGGTTGAAGAAATAAAAATGGATTGGAGGGCGGTAGCAGTTTATTCCCACTAACTATCTTCTTCCTGGACCAGCAGATTTGAATTTTTATTGTAAGAGGAAGAAGAAAGACAACAAAATGAGAAATAATAAATTGGAGAAGATGAACATTCGCCAGAAGTCTTCTTTTACAGTCAATGTTTCTTTCTTTCTCTTTGTTTTCTTGAAATTTTGACTTTTCTATTCTTAGTTGACGTGTCTTTTTCTGATTGGTGTTATTTGATATGTCAATAGCAAGTAGCATGCACACGCTTTGATTTGTGTAGAATTGTCAAATAAGTGTTCAATAGGCACACTTGTGAGTAGGTTCAAGTGTACAATTGGAACAAAGCTCAATACAGCCGCATATGTCTAAATCAAAAATAGAGGCAAGTTTAAGGGGTATTCAGCCCTTTACTAGGCTTAGGTCCTTGTGGATCTGCATAAATGATTACAACATTATCAATATATCTTAACATGGATGAATGGACTAATATTTCTTCACATTCACATCATAATTACTGTATGAGAGTTTATTTCTTGTGTTTCCCCTTTCCCTTTCTTTTTCTTCTAAATAAAGGCCAATGATAAGCTAACTCCAAAACAATCCTCAACAATAGAAGCTTGTTAAGTAATTGCAACTAATAGTTTGAGGTGACAACTTATTCTGAATCCTAATTCGAGAGCATATACTTCATAATTTGTAGTACTCCAAAAGAAATCACCAATTTTCAGAAAGGAAAAAAGGGAAAATAACTGATAAGAAGTCACTACACCTCGGTCCATTTTGCTTTACAACGGATAGAACACAACAGAAAATCCAATTATCTCTTCAATACAAAGATCTTATCACGGGGAGAACATATGAGAAATATATAACAACATGTTCAGAAAACAGTACAAAAATGTTCAGACACAGAATTTAATTTAACTCGCACCTTAGACAAAATCAGAAGCAGAACCAATGAAAGTTGGAACTGCAAATATCGTCCATCAATTACTTCGTAGATGTCACAGGGATGACTATTTGGTTTTTTTTTTTTTTTTTTTTTTTTAAATCTTGGGCACTTGATATCTTTCTTTTCACCATAGTAACTCCACAAAAGATTGTAATCGAGCACAGGGCAATGGTTCAATTCTTTTACAATCAAGGGAAAAAAGGGTGCATGGTCCAAGGTTTATTCCAGAAAGGCTGAACTTTATCAAACAGCCTAAGCAGGCTTCTCATAGGTATTTGCCTCTCTAAATTCTGCAATAGCACTACGAATCATTCCAGCAACATCAGATCGTACAAAGAGATGTGTATTATCCAAGACCTGTATTATAAACTTTTGCGATTGGGGCAATGCAGCATTCATATTGATAATGAACTGCGCCATGGGTACATCACTGCAAAGGAAAAGGCAGATCTCATCATACTAAAAGAAGCAAAGACATTTGAAATTAAGCTGGAGTAGGAATTCTATGTTAAGACTCGAATAGAGATAAAATGAATGCAGTAGTCTTTATATATATGTGTAGTTAAACCAATTTAATTACAGCAGATGTAGAAATCATGAGTTTAGCCCAAATCAAGATCTTGGGCGTTCTGACCCATTTAGTTTCTAATATATTTGGTTATATTTGCTTGCTCTAAATTGTAATTTACCATGATATGTACAATCCTTTGATGGCGTTCACCATGATTTAACCTAAGGCTTCAGCTGCAAAACAAACAGCAATTAGTCAAAAATGACAGCCCACCCATATAATATTTCCCCTCTCCAAAATGCATTTTTGCAGAATATTTAATTTATCACAGTTGACTCACTTCCTTCTAATATATTAGGTAAAAGAGAGGAAAGGATGGATCCTTCACCCTAAAATTAGAAATACAGTAAGGCTAATGACACAATTAGAAGGGAATTCATAAAAGCAGCCCTTGACAATTCTTTTTTCTTTTTTGGGACACTTAAATAACTTGATAATCACATGTCAAAACTTTGGATAGTGCAAAAAATAGGATACTTTACTTCAAGTTTCGCTTTCTCTCCAAAATGCTACTGCAGAAACACCATTTTTAAGACCGTGCTAACATTTCTTTCTCTAACCAGTCGGCTGAAAAAGTTAACCTAGAATATCCAACCTATACTCGAGTCCAATTCCTTGGATGAAGAAATAACTTATAGTTTGCTTCCCCAGCTGAGAAATTCCATGGTAAACAATATGGATGAGAAGGATCATTTTGTCACAACCTAGTAGACAATCCTCACAAAAAGATGGTTCTTACACATCCAAATTACATAATGCTACTATATACAACTATGCTCAGTCCCAAATAAGTTGGGGTGGGCAATGCCATTACATAAAGTGCCTAAAATCATTTATAACGGATCGGACATGCTGACCAAGAAATTCTTGAACAAGGATACTATCGAAAATTTATCTAGGGGCAAAACAAGTAAGAACCTGAAGGGTATATATCAGTATTATCAAAGGCGAAAAGCGCAAAAAAGCTCTAAGGTCCGTTGGGGCTTTAAGCGCAAGGCGCAAATAAAGCGTGAGCTTTAACGATAAAAGGCGCAACTGGAGAAAAAGTAAAAATATATATATGTAGTCCAAGACTAATAATTATAAGCATGAATAACAAATATATGGACAAAGAAATTGAAAAAAAATTACGATAAAGTGAAATTCAATTGTTTAATGTCGTCTTTTCAGGATTACACTCATTGGCTAGGAAAAGTATGCCTTAGAGCCTTGATGCGATACTAAAGCGTCCACAAAGCGAGGCGAAGCGTTCAACATGTTTTGAGCCTCGCTTCAGGGCTTAAGCGCGCTTTAAGCGCGCCTTTGACAACACTATATTAAACTAGTAAAATACAAATACTTAAATCTATTTGATCTCGTTTTGAGTTTCCTTATACCTGTTGCTGATGGGAGGTAGCAGATATCCCGTGGAATTAGTTGAGGTGTGTGCAAGCTGGCCCGGACACCACAACTATCAAAATAAATAAATAAATCTGTTTGATCTGGTTGCTTCTAAACAATCCATAGAGAATAATACTAACAACAACAACAAGAAGAAGCGCAGTAATTTCCTACAAGTAGGGTCTGGAGAGGGTAAGATGTACGCAGTCTTACCCCTACCCTAGAAGGGCAAAGAGGCTGTTTCCGATAGACCCTCGGGCGGGGAACGGATGAAAAAAAAGTAATGGCAACAAGTAGGAATAACAACAATCCACAGAGAATAATACTAAGATGACATAAATTGGTTCTGGAAGGTGAAATTAAAATGAGAAAATTAAACAAAAGGACATAACAGCTCATGTACAGTTATATGAAATTTAATGCCAAATCAAGCATAAAGAAATCTGTAAGCTTAAGTAAACAGCTTCAATCAAAGTGAAATGCACTATGAACAAACCCCTCTCTACAAACTTTTAATTTTGGTAGACCAAATTAAAAACTACATAGAGGAGGAACATACTAACCTCTCCACACAAAGGCCAGTTTGGGGCGACTGAATTTGATTATACAGTAATTTGAAAAAGGGATTGGGGTTTATCTCAGAAACAAAAGGAGAACTTACCAGTCAAGGGGAGAAGAGCAAGATTTTGCAGCCGAGGGAGAATGGACTGGAAATCAATGGGAATGAACCCGCTACAAGGAATCTGGGCTGTACGTTTGAAATTCGTGAAGGACCGACGACTCCGATATTACCCTAAAATATTTTCCGATTTATTTTGTATAAAATTATTACCAAAATACATTTATACTACTATATATTTCTTTCTTATACACTATATTTTTCCTTATATCATGTCTTTTTATCGATGACATAATTGACACAAATATCAAAATAATTTATTTTTCTTTTATCATGTTATAACTTATTCGCTTAGTTTTTGAAGGAAATTTTTTTCTTAGTTTCACATTTTTAGGAATGACTAGATCCATGCAAGAGTGTTTTGAATATTTGGATAGCAATTCAAAAATTGTCATGATATTTTTCTATCATCCATGTTCCTTTCGTAGCTTTAAAACCTTAAGTTTTTTCTTCATACCTTTCATATTTGCTTGCTGCTTCAGCAACTTTATTGACTCTTCATTGAGATTTTGTTTTAACTATGATCCACGAGGTTGTATAGCTAATTCGTAGAGAGAGTGTAACATATTAAAACTAATTATAGTAAAAATTGCACGGGGCGATCTATTTGGTCGCCCTCATTTAACTTATATCCATTTTTTTAAAAACTTTTAACTTGTACCCACTTTTTAAACAACTTCAGCCCATTTCTCCTCCTCCTTCTCCTCCTCAAAGTTTTATCTTTTTTTTTTCAGAAGTGAAGTTCATCCCTATCTGCTTCTTCTTATTTCTCCGGTGAGTCCTATAAATTTTCACGCCAACCTATACATCTGAAACAACCAATTTGCTTTCTTCTCAGCTCTTGCTCGACACACAAATTTGTTTTGCTGAAAAAATGGCACAAAATATGGGTCAAATAATTGCTCTTCTTTCTTCTCAGTTCTTGCTCGACACACAGAGATGACCTCGAAATTAAATTCTTAAAGGAGTTCAAATTTTGGGAATTAAATAGAATTTGGGTTATTGGTATCGTGAATACAAATAAATGGGTCAATGTGTTTCTACGTCTGCATGTCACCATATCAGAAGTGTAATTTCATCATCAAGGCATGCAAAAGATCATCACCATAACGTTGTTGTTGTATCATTTAAAAGCAAAAAAAAAAAACAGCCACAGCTGCAAGGATTATTGATAGAAAGAAGATGGTGTGGCAAATGAAATTATAAACAAACAAAAACTTCAGCTCTAGACCTGAAATTCCCCCTTACAAAGACAAAAACTTCAGCTCTAGAACTGAAATTCCTCAGTTACAAAGCAAAAACTTCAGCTCTTCAGCTCTAGAGCTGAAGTTCGCCAGTTACAAAACAAAAACTTTAGCTCTAGAGCTGAACTTCAGGCCATGCTACTAGAATGCTGAAGTTTTGCGTGATTGTCTTTGCTACTTCATCCATGTATGCTGAAGTTATGCGAAAAAACGGGTACGCTTGCAATTTGTTTTGTAAAACGGACACAAGTTAAAACGTGATAAAAAAACGGGTATAGATGCAAATGCCCCCTAATTATACTATAAGTAAGAAGCAAGAAGCCAAAAAAAAAAAATCCTTAAAAAGTCATGCACTAGAGGGGACAATAGTTTTGTACTCTCCAAACAATATTAACTCAAACCTAACAATTTAACTTGAATATATCCTTAAAAAGCAATTCAGAAAAGGTGAAGACACTCAACCAATATCAAAGAGAATTATACTTACCTTCTATTTCACGTGCTGAGCAAAATAGACTAAATAAAAAAATAATGATCTTTCATGAGAAAATAAAGGAAGAAGTAGTTCTAAGATAAAGAATTTCAAGTAACTCAAAGCTCCCATTTTGGCCGACTATATACATAATACAAACTATATGAATTATTCTTTGCAAATTAATTTTTGGTCGAATCCTTATATGAATATTTCCTTTCCTTTTCTTTTATTTTTGTTCTTTTTTCCTTCTCCATTTGCTTGTTTTATTTTTCTTTTCGCCTGTTACTCCACAGTTACTCCCCACATTATACTTATATATTTTGTATTAATCGCTTTATAATTTTATGCATAATTTCTTTAAATCAGTTTTTTACTAAAGCACTCTCATAATTTTTCCTTTAAATTTGAAGTACGTCAATGAAACGGGGAGAGAGGACGAAATAAGAAAAATAACATTCACATGTATGTCGAATTTTTCCTTTCTTTTCTTTGTTTTGTGATTTTCACTTTTTTCCGTTTTTTCATATTATTTGTTTTCATTTCCTTTTAGTTTCTTTCTTTGTCTTGCAATTATTCATTTTCTTTTTCCTTACCCACTTTGTTTTAATTTTCCTTTTTTCATTCCTTCACACACACACATATATCAGTTACTCTCTATTTCATGCCTTTTGTTTAAAGAAAAAATTAATCTCCTCCCACATCTTATGCAAAATTTCCATAAATAAGATTTTTTTTCTAAAACACTCCCATCATTTTCTCCTATAAATTCAAAGTGATTCGATAAGAAAAGTGAGAGAGGATAGGAAGAAAAACTATGTTACAGAAGTTCTTGTTGCAAAAATATTCAAATTGGTTATAGCATCCAGCCAAAACTTTAACAAAACTTTTGATCACTGCTTCCTTTCTTCTTGCTTCATCCCATGATAATAAATTTTAAACTCCTCAGAGAAAGCCTGATAAACTTTTTATTATGTCATGTAACCGGTGCTTGATAACTTTAAAAGTGAAGGAAGACTTATTAATATAATATGATATGATGCTAATCAAATACTATTCGATAAGATAGTAAAATTATATGCCATGAAATTAAAAAAGGTGTTAGTTGTTAATACCTCGTTCAATCTTTGCATATAACCTATTTATGTTCATTTGCGGTACACAATGTTTGAATGGTCGCAATGGAATGCAAGATAGTGAATATATATGGTGTGTCTATTTATATAGTGGTACGATGTTCAAAATTTAATGGTAAAGAATCCTTTCAAATTTCATAATTAAGTGATGAATACAAAAAGTAGTACCTAAAAGAATATAAAACTATAAAACTATTAGAACTGAAGCTTGATGTATATGATTTAAAGGAGGAGAGGAAATTGAATAGAAGAAGGAAATATAAAAAATAGTGAAAATATCGATAAAAAGTGTACAACAATGGCTGGAAAGTGTAAGGCACTAGCCATTATTGGGATTATTTCATTAGTTAATGTTGTGAATTTTTTATAGCATTTAAGTACAAAATATCATTTAGTGTGAGGTAATTTAATTTTAGGTAAAAGATAATTTGATCATTTAGTTTTTAAAGGTTATTATAATAAATTAACTTCACCTAAAAAATTTTATGCTTCTGATATAGTATGATGTGTTCAATATATTTACATAGAGTATAGTAAGTGATCAACATTACGGGTTTTATTCAATATATGTCTCGCCTCTTTTGGTTTTATAAATCCACTAGGCGGATAAGCTTTTTTCAATCACAATATCTTGTTTTACTAAGATTGTTTCACATTTATCACAAGATCGTTGTGTCACGATCCAATTTAGGATCATGACCGATGCTTAAGAGCAAGTGCCCTAAATAAGCATTATCGGTAATTTACAAAAAATCAAACAGAGTTTTTCCTATTTTAGGACTATCCACAAATTGCCTGTCCCATAAAGCAACAATAAAACCAATTAATATCCAACAAAAATAATTCATAATCTTCATCGACTATCCAATCAGTTCTCCACCATTATTAATCAACCACTTGCAAGAGACTGATGCTAAATCTATCTCCAAAATAGGCCAAATACATAGACAGACCATTAAATTTGGCCCAATTTTTCATTTTGGCACTTTAACTTAGTCTTGTTCCATTTTGGCCCTCCAACCCCATTTCTTTTGTTCCATTTTAACACAAAAACTTTTATCCCATGTAAAAATGCAGCGCGTGCAAATACCCAGCT